GCGAACAAGTCGTCGGCTCAGCGTCCTGCGAGCCCGATGAAACTGTGCTAAGCCACAAAGAGGCAATAAACGGTGGATTTGAGTGAAAAAGCCGACTACGCCGCCAACTCGTCAAGCCGACCCGAGTGATCTACCTCCTGATTGGTCAATTGGCCGAATGCACTAGCACCAGAGCCAGTGATACTGCTTTGTGATTGGTCACAACAGGCTCGACGTAGATTGGTGCTCGTCTGCTCGACTCTGATTGGCCTATCGTCCAAGGCATGCTGGTCATACCGACTGGCGCACATTTTGTAGTTGGTTTCGTTTGCCTCTTTTGCCTTCTGCTCTGCCGGCCTCGTCTACGTTGGGCTCATCTGCATCCGGTCTCGTCTAGTCGCTGAATTCCGAGGCTGGCATGTCGTCCGGCATCGGCCGGACTGACTCGCTTCGTCTGACATGTCGTCGATCGTGTCACTTGCTCTCTCGCCGCCGATTCGTTTCACTCACTTCTCCGTGTTGTTGCTGGGCCTGCTGACCGTCGGCTGTTCGGCTGGCCTACACGACAGTTTTGTGCCGGTTCGATTTGCCGAAAACGACGCCAACGCCAACGCCAACGAGCACGAGCATGACAACAGCAACAGCGGTCATGACGGTGGTGGTAGTGGTGGTGGTGGTGGTACAGTTCTGCGAACCGCCAGACCAGCGGGATCTGGTGACTCTGACGAAGCGTCGCTCGAGGCGTCGGAGGAGGCCTGCAGCGAGCACGGTTGCGCCTTGTTACCGCCCGATCGGGAGGTGTTAGTCTGCGAGCCCGACCAGCCGACCGGCCCGGCGTCAGACCAACCGTCGGCGCGGCAAGCGCAGTTGCCAAGACGACCGATTGTGTGTTTGGTGAACCCGACGACGGGGGAGATCCGATTGGGCAGCAAAGAGTCGATTCGCCGCCTACGCAGCCCCAGCTTCGTCAACCTCTTCGCCAGCCTCTCGCCGTTGGTACCGCCGACCGGACACATGTCGTTGCATCTGCAACTCAACGTGCTCGAGTTGCCGGCCAACCTGTTCGCCGGGGTGGGACAGACAATCGTCGAGGTGAGACTGTTGAATGTGGTGGCGGTACATCCTGACGCGTTGATCGACCTGCGTCGGTTGCGCACCTTCGAGATTGACACGCATCAAAGTCCCAAACAGTTGTCCGATCGCACCAGCGACGGCCAGACGCACCATTTGGACCCGGCAACCGCTTTCCTCCGCCTCCGGCCGCTCGACGGTACCGCGCCGATCGCCTTCAACCTGGCCGTTGTCTGTTTCCGTTGCCCTCGTCTCGCTGATCCACCGCCACCCTTCGCGCTGCGATCAGCCGGTGATCCGATGATTGTGATCGGATTTCCCGGCCAATCATCCGCTGAGCCGCAACACGCCTACACCGCCGTCTATCCCTATTCGTGTCCCCTGGCGACCGAGCATCCCGGCTGCCCTCGCGGCCCGCACGACTCGCAGGTGGCCGCCGGAGTCAATCGTAGCCTTGGCAACGCGACATTGGCCGAGCTGCCGCCGATCGGGCAAGAATGGCGGTTGAATGAGGAGACGGTGGTTGCGGTTGCTAGGGTCGACGGAGGCGATAGAACGACTGGCCGTTCGGAGAGGACCTACTTTTTCACGGTTCTCGTGTTGGCAGTTTGGTGCACCCTTTTGACGTTCTGCATGTTGCTGGTGCTCGCTTTCATTCTGCGCCGGTTGCGCAGCAACAAATCGATCCAATCTCCGCGGCTCGGCAGCAGCAAACGTGCGCCCGGTAACTGGTCCGACTGGACGGGCTGGCCGAATCGTTGGAGCCGCGCCGGTGGTTGGTTGGACCGACTGTTGGTGCCCACGTCACGCAGACGCACCTCCACCCTCGACGAGTTCCCCTCCGCCTCCACCGGCAGCGCCTATTTGCCCAGCGCCAGGCCGCTTGGACCGCTTGGCAACGGCACAACCGCCAGCTGCCTGTATCCGGGTCTGTTGGGCCAGTTGCCACGCTCCAACACGTTGTTGGTCGACTCGATCTCGGCCTCTTGGCACAACGCCGGCCTCTTCCCCTACGCCTATCCGCTGGGCAGCATGCCCAATCTGGCGCTGGACGGCGACGACTACGACGCCGAGGCGGAGGTGGAGGTGGAGACGGAAGCGGAGTCAGGGCGACCACGAACCGGCCAATCGGGCGCCGGGTCTCGAGGCACCGGGCGCTGGTCGGCCGGCCGGAGGGCCGGCATGCCGCGTCGACGGCCCGGCGTCGCGACACAACGCAACTCGGCCACGTTTCTGTCGCCCTCGACGTTGCCAGGCTTCGTCGCCACCAACGCCGTCCGAGTCCACTCGGTCGCCGCGCCGTCCGGACCCCACGAACCGGGCGGTCTGCAGCGCCCGCAGTTCGGCCAATCAACGACGTCGGGCCTCGTCAACACCCGCCCGCCCAGCCGGACCAGTCAGGCCAGTCTGCCAATCGCAGCTGGCGCCAACAGTGTCCATCGTCAGACCGGCAGCGGACAGACGGTCGCGGTTGTCACGGCGCCGAGTCCTCGAGATGTTCGAGCTCGACTCTCTGAGGTCTACGGCGCCCAGTTCGGACAAGACGAGCGAATCCTGCTTGTCGTCGACGACCTTTTGATGGGCCCGTCGAGACGGACGGGCCAGACTGCGCTGCGGGCCGAGCCTGAGCCCGAGGCCGAGGACAGCGATGGACCGAGTGATGACATTTCAGAGTCGGGCATCTACGAGAACATGCAAATGTCACAGCAGAGGGTTGGGCTGCTGCAACAACGACTTGTGCAGGGATGACGCTGAATGCCACCAACCGGACCTTTTTCTCACAACCACCCTCCTCCTCCTTCTTCTGCTCTTCTTCTTCTTCTTCTCCGCAGGAATACGCCCAACCTCTGAGGTCAAGAGGGCCGTTGACAGACAGTTTCGCGCCTACAC